ACAAAAAAGTAGACTGAGCTCTCTCACATTGATAGGGCAAACAATCTAGAAGGACGATACTGAATACAAAACAGCGAAGAAAAGCAATTTAAAAAAAAATTTAACTACATCTCCATTGCCCCCATCCCCCCCCCCACAAAAAATGATGGCAATTCGCAACTTAAATATCAAATACGGAGTTATGAAGAGCCACGATCATCTACGCCCTGAAAGGACATGACTTTAGAAGGTTGTTCTCTGAGCGCTAGATAAGTTCCGTGCTCCCAGATATGGTTGTAAGAAAGAGTTAGCAGGGTGGAGAATAGGAGCCGATTGTGTGGAAGGGTCTCTAAAAAGCAAAATAACTTGCTTTGGAAACTGTCGGAATGAAGAGTTTGGTAAGATGTCGAACGTTAAAAATGGCAGCAAAATGAAAGGAAAAGAATCCGGAGTTGGTAAACGAAATTGCTGAAGTTAAAATGAAATATGAGGTCGTGTAGAACCAAACATAGAACCAGTAACTTCTTATGCGAGTTAAAACTGGCCGAGTGGGGGGGGGACTAGAAAACGAGACGAGAGACAATGAAAAGAGAGGGCGACGAGAGACAATAAAGAGAAAGGGAGACGAGAGATACGAGACGAGAGACAATGAAAGAGAGAGGGCGAGACGAGAGACAATGAAAGAGAGAGGCGAGACGAGAGACAATGAAAAGAGAGGGCGAGATGAGAGACAATGAAAAAGAGAGAGGGCGAGACGAGACAATGAAAAGAGAGGGCGAGACGAGAGACAATGAAAAGAGAGGCGAGACGAGAGACAATGAAAGAGAGAGGGCGAGACGAGAGACAATGAAAAGAGAGAGGGCGAGACGAGAGACAATGAAAAGAGAGAGGGCGAGACGAGAGACAATGAAAAGAGAGAGGGCGAGACGAGAGACAATGAAAAGAGAGAGGGCGAGACGAGAGACAATGAAAAGAGAGAGGCGAGACGAAAAGAGACAATGAAAATGAAAGAGAGAGGGCGAGACGAGACAATGAAAAAGAGAGGGCGAGACGAGAGACAATGAAAGAGAGGACGCGAGACGAGACAATGAAAAGAGAGAGGGCGAGACGAGAGACAATGAAAAGAGAGAGGGCGAGAAACAATGAAAGAGAAGGGCGAAACGAGAGAGAAAAGGAGGCGAAACGAGAGACAATGAAAAGAGAGAGGGCGAGACGAGAGACAATGAAAAGAGAGAGGGCGAGACGAGAGACAATGAAAAGAGAGAGACAGAGAGACAAGAGAAAATAAAAAAGAGAGACAGAGAGACAAGAGAAAATAAAAAAGAGAGACAGAGAGACAAGAGAAAATAAAAAAGAGAGACAGAGAGACAAGAGAAAATAAAAAAGAGAGACAGAGAGACAAGAGAAAATAAAAAAGAGAGACAGAGAGACAAGAGAAAATAAAAAAGAGAGAGAGTTGGAATTCAGTTAAATCAAACAAACAGCGCAATGAAGTTTGCGTCAATATCACCTTTTGCAATCCTTTCCAGTTATTCCCCCACCGCCGCCACTTACCTTCGATATACAAACCCATCTTTCTTTCACTCACTGTATCTTCCTCCCCCCCGTTCATTATCTTTATATCCCCTAACCCACATTCTCTTCCACTCTTTTCTCTAAACACCTTACGACTAACTATTTCTTCAAACACGACATTTAAAGATGTAATCAGATGTTAGCTTACCTCCCTTTGTTTATATGCAGCATTGCGTATGAAAGCTTCAACAGTTGGTCGTCGCTATACAATCAAATATTCTTCTCTGTGTGGAGATGAGCATTGATGTCTGTACACGTCTGCTAGGTATCAACGTGTAGACATAAATGTTTCTATGTATGATGGACGCTGGTCCCAAATTAGAGCCTGTGTTAATGTATATAAAATAGACCAAACCCGGATATAAGAGACTTCTTCTCCGGTCCCGACAACTCTCTTACATCCGGGTTACACTGTATATGTGGGTTTTTTTAGTGGTACAAATGATCTTTCTAAGTGCGTAAGCGCGAATATCAAAAGGTGATTAAATATAGATGTTGTTCTGTCGTTGAATATATATATATATATATATATATATATATATATATATATATATATATATATATATATTAATTTAATTTATAAGTACATATTTTATTTTTTTTCTAATTTACGAATAATTTGTCGCAAATCCTAATCAGACGTACGTGCGTGTCATTTGTCCAAAGTTCGTCTTTTTGTTTTCGAGTGCTTTCGACCATCACTGGTCATTGTTTGTTTATCGGCATATAAACACCTTATGGGTCATTTAATGCCGAAATTTAATTTTCTTCGGAACATTGGTAATTTATTTTACAAAAACGTATTGCTGGTATTTTTACTATAATATTTTTTATATTTTCACCAGTTTTGTCCATAGCTGGGGCCCTAACAGGGGCTACCACTCGGGGGTCAGGGTGGACCTGTGAACACCAGCAATTAAGAGGTGGTTCCACGCTCCTTAAAACCTCCCAATCAGAGGCCTTGCTGCCGGATGTAGTTTATCGTCATACCCAGGACGGTCATTATCAGTAACGTTAATAGTGTCAGAATTAAACTAATTAAAACAATTATATATTAAAACCAATAGACATTTTGTGTTGATTAATTTTAATGGTCGCTTTTTCAAAGTAAAGATTAATCCTTCTCAGACGTGGAAGACGAATCGTTCTGATTGAATTTCCTATTAAAAAAAATATTTAGCGCAGGACTACGACTATTATTATGCTTTTTCTCAGAGTACTAAATGAAGAGTGCTGACAATATGAAAATTTCGATAGAGACAAGGTAAGAGTCAGTTATGTGCCATGCGTGATACACGCTGAGGCTATCAGGTATCTTTTGATACATTCGAGACGAGACAGTTTTTTTTCCCCGCAGTAGGTTGCCATTTCTTTCTGCGGTAGACCAGTTGCCATCCAGGGCTATAGAACCCGGTCTTTCCTGCTATTTACCCATAACACAGGCGGAGAAGAGGATTCATACCTTTCCCAAGGCTATTAGCACGTAAGTGAATGTAATGGATTCGACTGGGATTCGAACTCGGCTCTCCGATTTCTCAATCCGAGCTGCTATCCATTACTTCACCATCGGAGAGCAGAGTTCGAATTCCAGTCGAATCCATTACATTCACTTACGTGCTAATAGCCTTGGGGAAGGTATGAATCCTCTTCTTCTCCCCCAGCTATGGGTTCTATAGCCTTGCATGGCAACTGGTCTACCGCAGAAAGAAATGACAACCTACTGCGGGAAATAAAATCTGCCTCGTTAGTCATGTATCGAAAGATACATGATCGTCCATGCGTCTATCACGCATGACACATAACTGACTAAGGAAAAGAGTACTAAACTGTTACGTGATATCTATCTTCCTGCATGGCAGCGAGTGCTGAGCAATCTCTTGAAAGATGACGAGGAAACTTGAAGCAACAAAAATCTGGTTCTACAGAAGGATGCTGAGGATACCATGGACCGAACATGTAAGCAAAGACGAAGTTTTGGAGAAAATGGAAACAAAATGGAAACTAATACTTAACATCAGAAAGAGAGATTTGAGATTTCTAGGGCATATAATGAGGAAGGAGGGTTTGGAAAATCTGATACCCTTGAGACAGATAAATAGCTGGTGGAACAGGGATTAAGAGAAATAACAGAAACACGAAGTTTATTAAAAGCTACAAGGGATAGGAAGTTAAGGAGAGCCATGATCGCCTACGTCCTGGGACGACAATACCTAGATAAAAGGCGTGGTCGATAGGTGCTGATGTCACTATACACTTAGAATAGATACTTTTTTTTTTTTTTTTTTTTAACTGTCTGAGTATTCTCAAGTCAGTGGTGTTGTCTGATGGGATACGGCACATAAAAGAAGGAGGATTACAGAGTAGTCTCCCTTAGTTGCAAGTAATTGAGAAGTGTACGAATCGGAAATCACTTGATATCAAATTTAAGGACGCCGTTTGACAATCTTTAAACGAATCAAAACTAAATGCGCTTCAACACTCAGTTCTTCAGGGTTTGGAAAAAGAAAAAAAAAGAAAAAAAGAGAGAAGTTGACAGGAAGCAGAATCATTTGATGAACGTGGCTTTGTTTAAATTTTCCACCTCTAATATAAACAGCAACCAGCCTATTCGACTGACACTACGTCCAGTTAAAGGGAGCAACATTTACAAAAGCAATTACTTAAATTCCTTACGGTGAGACTAGTCTGGCAGTCAAGCTTCGAACACAGCCCTGGGTATGTGAATATTTGGGGTGGGGGAGTAGGAACTGGTAAAGTTCAAACAGGTCAGCGCAATACTTAAAAAAACAAAACAAAACACACATTACACTGTGATCCTGTGAACAAAAAAATGTCGAGAGAACAACGTGGATCTCTAAATGAAGGCAAGGATAAAACTTACAATTTTGCCTTTTCTTCAACTAAAAGTTGGAAAAAGATTATTAGAGAGCCTTTAAGTGAAAGATTCGCATATTTGAAATACAGTTTATGTCGATTTAATCAATATAGTTTTGAAAAAAATTATATATATATATATATATATATATATATATATATGTATGTATGTATACGGCATAAATACCTCCTACATAGTGATAAGACGTTAGCTAGATGAAGACACCATTGCCACTAAGGTCTTACCATTATGTGGGAGATATTTTTGTCACACCCTGTATTTACAAACTGAACCCTTGGAATTTCACATATGTTGATAACTAATATATCAATGAAGACTCATATAATATATAAGCCATATATAAATATATAATGAAACCTTGAAAACAAACACCTAATTGGAGGGAGCAACAGAAATACCTCCCACATAATAGTAAGACATTAGCTAGATGAAGATGTCATTGCCACTAAGGTTTTACCATTATGTGGAAGCTAGTTCTGTCACACCCTGTATTTTCCTGACAGAATTTTTACGCTATCCCAAATTTTCAAATTTATAGTATACATCTTTACTAAGAATAATGAACAAAAACGAAAATACTTACAGTACGACTGCTTTTACTAATGCCTGCAATAAAAATAAAGAAATAAAAATAGATTTGCTTGTGTAAAACGTAAATTATAATAAATCATTTAATACTCATATTTTCTTTTAATAAAACTTTTTTTTTTACATGTCAACCCTTGTTGGGTTATTTAATATCGAATGTTCGTATTAGCACCAGTATGGATTGAACTCCCTACTCATGTCTAATCAGACTACACTCGTTAAAACATTATTAATGACATTCCTTAATCAAATCAAAAAATGGTACAGAAAGTGCAAATCAAATCCAGTAACACAACAGCGTATAATCTACATTTAAAATCAGATCTACATGCAAAGTTCAACTAAAAAGCGTATTCAAAATAATGAAAACATAATAAATAAAAAATTTAGATGCATATGAGCGGAAAACATGTGTAGGTGGTATAAAAATTTGGATTTACGATAAATATGACCTGCGTAGAAAGGGATAATTATTATCTGTCTATATTTATGAGATGAAGTATTATGTACCTCAAGGATATATGGCACAGTGGATAAAGGTGTTTGTTAAGTCCAATGACAGGACCCAAAGAGTGTGAGTTCAATACTTGGTTAAGGCGGTTGAGAACTTGGAGAGGGGAATTAACAGGAGATAAATGATAACTGACATCCATTAGACACGGCACGTGGAATTAGAACAGTCTACCCCAGTGAACGAAATAATGGGTTCAGTTCGACATTCCAACCACCTGAAGAAGGCCGGAGCGTACAACTGCCGAAACGCTGTAATAAATTGGCGACAAACATGAGAGCAATAGTCCGAATAATATAAATAGGGATAATTATATAAAATATTAAAAAGAGAGAGAGCTCAATGTATCAAAATACAGAGCAATATGATATATATATATATATATATATCTCAAAGGAAAAGTTCAATACATCATTAATGAGTCCGGTAATAATTTAATTCAGACAACTGCCTCATCATTATTTAGCTTTTCCTTTGTTGTGTGCATGTAATTATATATATATATATATATATATATATATATATACACACACACACACACACAAGTATATAATTGGTATATACGGAATGAATTCCAATAACCAACAATTACTATTCTTAAAAGAGTGCTCAATACAAAGTAGAGCAGATATAATTATTATTTATAAAAAAAATTATAACATAAGTATGTTATAAAATCACTACAAAAATAGCCATTTTGTTTCAAAACACTGTGTCTTATCAAGTGATGATGTTGAAAATAAAATAAATGGTTTTAAAAGTTTCAGATTAATTATATATATATAAGCACACATGTTTCATTGAATATAGATAAATCTTTCCACTTGTCTAATCTAAAAAAAAAAGCAAAGCTACGGTGCCTTCTTTGATGAATTTCATCTTAACATCAAGAAACAGATTAGACAACTGGAAAGAATTAATAAAAAATAAGTAGAAAATATTCAATGAAATATATACATATAAGATAACGATATATATTTTTATATACCAAGAACCATGTTGTGGAAAAAGTTTTCGTGACGCGTTACGTCCTTTAGGACTTCATCGGACTAAATTTGTTACGTTTTGTACGACTACACATGTGCACGAACGAGGGATGCTGGAAATTTGAAAATTGTTTTTCTTCTATTATCACAGTGTGGGATATATACTAACAAAAACGATGGAAATAAAAGAATCTAAATTAAATCGGCTAGATTTTTTAAAATAATAATTAATAATGCCGTGTACTAATTGTTAAAAAATTCCTGTAGAAATATTCATTGTTGGTTTATATGTGCTTTTAAATGCCGTATATAAATTCTAATCTTCGGGGTGGAGGCAACAATCTTTTAAAAGTCAAAAGTGCTAATTTAATTAACGGGCGGTCTTAAACTCTCAGGAGATCGAAAAATGTCTTCAATAAATAAACGCATCCCTTCTATTACGAACCTAAATAAATAATTGCCCTACTATTAGACCTATAAGAATAATGCCAACAAAAAGGGGACATGTCAAATACACTGTTAGATACAGTATATTTCATACAAGTCAGTCGACATTCTATCAGCCGGACTGATGATGACTTCAAATAATGACCGAAACGACTTACAAAATTGAAATCATGTTATGATTGGAAAGCATTAACGGATTCATTCTAGTATGGTAAAAAAAATAAAAAAAATACAATTATATTGTTGTGAAGAAACTACTATTATTTAAGTCAAACCAAATTAATCGGGGAAAAATGATCACAAACGCAGAAAAAGTTATTAATGTGTATATGTAGGTTCGTTGTGACTTTTAATAGCATTTAAGCCCACAACGATAATTAAAAAAAAAAAAAAAAACAATACGATTTTACTAAATTAGTTAAAGTAATTATTAAAACAAAAACAGCAGGTTTAAAAAAATAATTTAAGCCTGATTATTTCAGAAATTCGAACAGCATAATTTCAAGAAGTAACTAAAAGTTATCTCCCCTGAAGAGTTACGTCCCTTGTTTATAGAGTTATGGCCCTTGTATATTTCTGACGGTCATTGATATACGACTGTTTTGAATTAGCCACAAACTTAAATGTAGTTATAAACTAAATTTCTTTTTAAAATAATGTATTATATATATATATATATATATATATATATATATATATATATGTATATATGTGTGTGTGTGTGTGTGTACACAATACTGAATGAAATGCATAGGCAAAGAATGATTGTTGAAATAAAAATATTTATGTAAAGCAAATGCTTTTTTCATTATGCGGAATTATTTTTGGATATTAGTAAAAATGAATTGCTTGTTCAATTCATTTTATTGAAAAGAATGACTGAAGTGTATAGTCCTCTCGGTACCATTTTTCGCGCCATTATATAAATCTTAAGTAAATTACATTTTAAAAAATATAAAATATTTTGACGATGAAATTACTGCACTCCTTTGAGGTCTTTTAATACTCTTATATTCCTTGCTAAATCGTAAAAATGAAATATCGCTAATACGTGTTTCCTTGATCTGTTCAATAAATCAATGAATTTTATGTAAATTATTGTGAATTAGCAGAAGGCTACATTAAAACGCTATCAGAGCAAACCTACACCTACTATCTTATCGTAAATATTATTAGCTCATAAGTCCTGAAAATATATTCAATGAGCAAATTCGTATTGCCAATATGGCGACGATATTGTCTTATTTAGTAACTAACTTCAATACACACAATGAATTTTGTGTAGAACGCTTCAGGAATATGAACAGTTTGATCAATCTGATCATGTCTCATCAGACATTTTATTTATCGCTTGAAACTACTTCAAGAAATCCTTCTCAGAGACGTTTCGACCTGATGGCACGTTGTGATTTCCCATCTTCAGTATTGCTGCACGTTTCTAAACATTCCCAACTGCTCAGGTTTATTCAAAATCCTCAATGCCAACTTGTGGTTTATACTACAACTAAGTTGAGGTGAGAATAGATTTAATTCATAACTATCGAAAGTGAATATAACAATCTCGACCTGAATTCGAACTCGGCTTACAACGTTCGAAGCCTTTAACCAATACACCACCGTCACATCCTATCCAAGAAGTAAAGCATTTTTTTGGGGGGGGTATTTCTTTGAAGAATCTATTTCGATTCTTTGAATTTCTCGAATAATTTAAGAAGTAATGAAAGTTCTATCAGAACATGAGAAAACAATTACTTGAATAAATGAGCGAGAAAGACAGGCGGCGTATTTCTTCCATTTTGTAGCGAGTCAGGTTTATGACAACATGGGAGCAGAAAAAATATGTTGAATAATATTATTTGTGTATACGTTTATATAAAAATTTTAAAATCTCCGTTTTTAAATTCCTATATATATATATATATATATATATATATATATACACGGATCATTTAAATATTATTTAAAAATGTTTTTACAGTAAACAGTAGTATTTTCTATATTTGTTTTTTCTTCATTTTGATCCAGATTCATTTTCCCAAAAGAAATATTATTCACGGTATGTTAGGCAGTAATCTTTCATCGAACAAAAAAAAGTGTTGCTGCAAATAAAATATTTATTCTGAAATTAATATTTTAATGCATCGAGCATATATTGTTTTAAATATTCTAAATTCACTGATAAATCACTAACAACCTACGTTCTTTTATTCTTATTTCGAAATCAGCTTCGGTAAAATTAAAAAATAACCATTTATTCTTGGTAAAAAAGAATAGAAAGGCTACTACTAACGTCAAACCCTGTGATAAACGAAACTTTCACTTCATTCTCGAAAGAACATTTTTTTTTAATTTTCAGAAAGTTAAAATCCAACCGATTAGCTGTTTATAAATGATTGTTATCAGATGCAACAGTTCTCGTATACTTTCATCCAATTATTTTCGTTAATGAAGGCAACAATACTGCTTTGAGTTACAATTCTAAGAGATATTCAGAATAATGAATTTATTTTAGCTACGCTTGAGAAAGAAATCTGATTAGACATCTGAAGGCCATAGAACGATCGAACGAAGCGTTATGCCAAAGAAAGTTCATTATGTGGAAAATCTTTTGGAAGACGACATTATTAATTTTTATTAACAGCAACAATGAAATCAGTACCGCCATGAAATAAAAATAAACTTTTCAGTGATACTTCGTACTCTGCGTTGATCCAGTCCTTTCGGGTTTATTTTTACAGAAAATACACAAAATATGACAAAGGAAAAACTATCTATTGAATGACGCAACTTAATGACATTGAAGGAATTTTATTGTTCAAGTTCAGCTCAGTGATTTAATTATATCGCTTAAATGTCAAAAATGAAAGTTCAATCATTTCGAGAATTTTTTTTCACAATCTGATAAAAAATAAAAAAAAAATAAAAATAAATAAATAATTAAAATAAAATAATAATAATTAAATAAAATCAAACTTCTTAATAAAAGCTTTTTTCGTTTAAATATTCTTAACCAGTATCTAAATTGTTTCGATCAAGAAGTATAATTCCTAAATAATAAAAAAATCATAAAAACA